TCCGTCGGCCGTGAACGCCACTTTCCACGGGATGACTAGCTGCATGCACCAAATGGCAATGTTAATCAGCTCACCACATACATAAATGTGAAATCAACAACACAAAACACTATAAGAGTAAACCTTCTGGTCAATGTAGTCTACCCAGAACCGAGCAATGGCACATTCGTAGGGGTCAGTGGGTAGGAGGGAGGGGCCTGTAATGCCGTAGGCCTCATCGATGTACTCTAGAATGACGACCGACTCACAGATTGGCTTGCCGTTGTGGATGAGCACTGGCACCTTCTTGTGCACCGGGTTTGACGTGAGGAGGAGGTCGCTCTTGTTGTCGAGGTCCTGCTCCACGTACTCGTAGCTCAAGCCCTTGAGGTGGAGCGCGAGTTTCACCCTGGAAACCCATGGGCTCGCCCATGTACCCAGCAGCTTCAGCTCGTCTTCGCCGGCCATTTCTCCCTTGCGTGATACCTATGGATATGACTTGAACTTCAGTGTTAACTACTGTGTTTTGCTTGCTTGCTTGGCTGAGCGTGGAGTGATATATATAGGGTATGGGAGGCAATAACAATGCATCATCCATGAGGCATGTGCTAACGTCAAGGACACTTATTTTGCACAATCACTTAGTATCCGGACATTGAATAGACTTCCTGCTTACTCTATTTTTAACACATGTACCATAATCACTTATTTTATCTCCATGTTTTGAAACACCACGGCAACGAATTCAGTGCTTAGCAACATTAGTCAAGGTCGTTTGCTTGTGGAATAGTTAACTTTGATGTCAAGTTTCTGGAGACATTAGTCATTGTCTTGGAGAAGAAGGCTGGGAAGTAAACAGATTAGCAGAGTCCTTGACATCCCCAGCCGGTCAGTCATCGTTAACTAACTTTAAGATTGATATCAGATAAGGACATGAAACATATAATACTAGTTAGTCGCATTAACTTCAAGCATGCATCCATGACAATGATCAAGTACCTAATACTAGTCTGAACAAGTCAAATACCTAATACTTATGCTCCCGTTAGAGCATCCTTCCCAGATACTTGCAATATTTTTGTGAATCTAGAACATGCACAAAGACAAACCTCAAACAATTTTTCATGCCATGTATGCGTATATATTGTTAATGTGGATGGGAGGCATAACTACAGATGTAGCTAAGGTCTATCATATAACATGAGACAAACAAACCGACGGATGCAAAATGACGATTAATGATATCATGTACTTTCTTAAAATATTTGATGCAATCCAAAGAACACAAAGCAACAATTTATGCAAGGGAATTAGTGCAGAGGATAAATAATCAATCAACAACATGGGAATCAAACACCTAATTAGATTAGTTAGCCCTATCAACCACAGTCGATACATTCATTATGTACGATATTTTCGACAATGACACCATCACTCCATCACAACTCACAAGGGTACAGAGGAGGTACGACGACGATGATGCATACACGGTGAATGTAGAGCTTCATTCAGGACGGCTAACTGAGTTAGCGCTCAAATAAATAGATGCACAGCCAGCCTACTGTATTGTATCGTGTGCTTTTCATAAGCAAGCAGATAGTTTCTCAGCTTTGCATAAGTTGCCTAACATCTCCCGAGTTGCTCATACAAGTTCCTCTGCTCCTCGTACGTCAGGTTTCTTAAGATCTGGGTGATGGCAAAAAAGAAGGCAAGACGTGGGTGGATGAGAACCACCTGCAATACACAGGACAATAATAAGATCAAGTGGAAATCAACAAAGTAAGTAGGTCAGAAGGCAAGACGTGGGTGGATGAGAAAACTGTGGAATCTTTAGCAAGCATCTCTAAGCACACAAAGTCGCCGTTTTTTAAGGAAGCTCAGTTATATATATGTGTCATCTATGTTCATCTGCCTCAAATGGATAAGTCTTCTAATATATTTGACATGATGATTTCCCAATCCTTCAAAACGGCTATGGTCTAACACATGCAAAGATCTGACTTCACAAGAGAAGGCAATTGATTGGTAGGCATAAAGACACTAAGTTATCAAGCATGTGATAAATCGAGTTGCTTGACAATTCCTTGATCTTCATTTCCTTTAGAAAGATTCGGCGAATCTTATGATCTACCATTGCATTATTGTTTAACAATGTAGAGGAGTTATCTTTTTCAGACATGTAGAATGACTGCACTCTCCTTAATTTAAGCCTCTCTAAAAATCTTTCACCAATTATGATATGCCTGCAGGGGGGGGGGGCAATGGGCCCCTCCCCCAAACCCAACATTATATGTTACCATTATAATTTGGGGAAGTAATGGCTATACCCACACTAGTTGCACCCCCGCTACACCCCCTTATTCATAGCATACATTCACTGTGAGATACGTGCTGCCAGCCACTGTTTTGGATGTATTAAACTTCCATTAACAAGCTCATGGAAATATATATATATATATCCTAATTCAACAAGATCTTTCCATCCTTGTCATGAATAAAACCCTCAGAAATCCATCTATGTACTAGTCTCTTCCTTTGGATCTCATAATCTTCATCAAACATTGTCAAGTACAGTAGGCAGCTTCTTAGATGGAGTGGAACATCAAAGTATACAGAGGCGGAGGACGAAAAAAGTTTAAGTTGTGGCGAAGTCTCAAGGAAAGAATTTATTTGATGCAAATTGAAAGAGTCAATACACACTACAAACAAAAAGTCAAATGCAATGAAAATGTAGACATGTTTCAATAGAAAAACAACCTAAAACATATCCATAATGAAAGGATTAATGGAATGTCCCGAAACATTAACCTAAAACATACCCATAATGTAGACATGTTTCGATGGAAGTCACTTGGTTTTGACGAGTGACATGTCCCGAAACATTTAACACTTTTGTGGGTGCTTGGATTTGATTTGAAGCTGCTTCCACTACCAATTACTTCAAAATACATTTTGTCAAATATGTAATCCTCAACATCAATTTGTCACTAAAATCTGATTGGATTCAAGTTGCTGCTAACAATTGCTATAAAATTTCAGAGACATGAGAAATATACCTCTTCCTCCCCTTTCCTTTGGATTGGTTGGCCCCTTCCCCTTCTTTTCCATCTTATGGCCCAAACTGCTGGAGCTTGCCGCCATCTTATAAGAACATAGAGTATCGTTCATATATGATTTGTTTTTTAAAAAATTACGAAACATTTTCTTGGAAAAACTGTGAACAGTTTGAAATACAGAATATTTTTAAAAGCAAACAATTTACAAAATTCCAAAAACATTTTTTGAACAATGTGACACAACAACATTTTGCAAACTACACGTTTTACATTTACTTAATGACAATAGCATTTTTTACATTGTATAAACATTTTTTTAAAATTGTTCAGGTTTCAGAATTTGTACCTATTTTTATTTTAAAATATTTATGTCCAAAATAGTGTTCACTTTTTAAAAATTGATTGTGTTTTAATACAATCAATTTTTTGAAAAACTATTCAGAATTTTTAAACAATGTTTGCAGTAGAAAAATTGTTCAGGCCAGCATATCTTCAATATTTTTTTCTACGGTGCCTCCTAGGTTTTTCAAAAAATGTTTGCTACGGTTCCTCCTAGGTTTTTTTTCCTCTTTCAGATAATGTTCACGTCTTGAAATGTTCAAAATTTAAAGAACAGTTCAAGATTGGAAAAATCTTATAGTTTAAATTTTTTGCTCACGACATCACAAAATATTTGCGCTCTATTTTTTTAACTTCTGAACAATTTTCGAAAATACTTTTTTTTAATTTGTGACAGAAAATCGAAAACAGGAACATTTTTTAAATTACTGTACATTTTGTGAAATGCATGAATTTTTTTATGATTGAAAGGATGACCATTTTAGAAAAATACACAATTTTAAAACACAAACATTTTTCATTTCTCAAAAACGCAAGAAGTGAGCCGGCCCAAATACTCGTCAGTGAGAGTAATACCTTATCCGGTCAGGACTGTTATATTCCTGGTGCCCCAAATAGGTCTAGGGTCCAAAATAGACCGGGATTGATAAGTTCATAGTGCCAATTTCCGGGATTCAAAGTTCAGGGTTCGATTTATCTTTCATCTACCAATCCAAGGTTCGTTTTGGACTTTTTCCTCAGTTAATCCTAGTACAGGCTTCTGTATTCAATTAAACAGAAACATATTATAAGAATTTTGTACGTAAGATGGAGAAATATCCCATATTATAGTTTGAACCAAAATCAGGTACATAACGTTTGTACTACGATTAGTATTCAGTAGATCTTAATTTTGAGTGGCATTTCTCTACTAGGGATAGGGTTTCTATGCTTTACCAATATGTTAACTAGTAATAGAAACAAAAACTCTATTGCACCTTAGATATTCAAATGTGTAATCTTTTTTTTATATAATGTTGTCGACATCAGGACAACACAATATACTCGATGGAACAACCATCATCTTGAGGTCCGAATCATCTCCATTGTAAAAAAAACAGTACTCTACCAACAATTTATGATCTAAATAATCTCCATGCATATGGTCGATTCATTTGATTGAAATCGTCACAGGTTTCTCTTTTTCTCATTTTATACTGGAACAGAAAAAATGGCTGATACCTTTTTTTGTGAGGATGGCCGATACCAATGTTGAAAATACCAGACGTATAATTAACTTGACAAACATTGACAACATAAGCATACATGAATCCACAAACAACTATCTGTTTGGCGGGCACGGCAATTTCATAAAATTAAATCAATCAACATAAATATCCAGGTCTCATGGATCGAAAATTCGCAACGAGAAAACCAATTAATGTGCTTTAATCTACTACAGAACGAAAGCCAGCTCTTCAAAGAAGATCTCAGACAGAGTCTCCAAGAACCGTGTGCTCGTTCCAATGATATCTGACCCGATCCGAAGCTTGATGACACCAGCACAGGCAAACCAGATCATCAGAGATAAAAGCACGACGAGACAAAAAAGATTTTACCTACCAGGGTTTCAACATGTCGGGAGCTCTAACGGCGGATAGGGGAGGACGAACCACTACTATTGCTGAAGCTAGAGGCACTTCTCCGTCTCCCTCTAAAGGGCCTGCGCCAAATGAAAGAAAAGAAAAAATAACTCCTTTCTGTTAGATAAATAAATTGGTTTCGAACGGAAAAAAAAAATAACGTCTAATTTCCTTCTGTTGTATTTGAAACGGATTCTTATGATGCACATTTAAGCAGGTTGCTAAACTAAAAGAAACATAATAGCACCACTTACGACTTGGAAAGGCAAAGGTGACTACCTTTGAGGGCTGCGACTTCTCGGTACCCTTACGGCTCCCTGTACAAGAGAATTAATCACCCCTCTTTCCCTCTTTTCCTCTAAAGAAAAAAAAAACAAGACAGTAATAGTTACGAGTTTACCCTTCTTGGCGGCGTTGGTGATTCAGAAAATGACGAGGATGACCGCGCACGCCTCACAGGAGCTGCTCGACCCCTGGTTCCATAGAGTGGTTTGTTAACACAAGGGGATATTTCTTTACACTGCTCAGGAGATAGCGCTGAAGTGACAGGCTGACTGTAAGTTTTCTTTTAACTCGTAAAAGGTGCACAAACCACTGATCCAAAATGATAGAAAAATGAGATATGAACCTAGGTCAACAAAACCATTACCTGACGGGAGAAATTGATCTGGAAAGGGAGCGAATTGGTCGACGAAGTGGAGATCTGCTACGACGATAAGGAGGTGGCAGCCTTCTTGGAGGACTTCTCATCCGCATTGGAGGTGTCCTGCAGAATGAAAGAATGGTTAACAGAGATAAAATGCAAGCAATACTTTGCATAAACAGCTTTTTCTTATATAACTAAATAAGATAACTGGAAACTAGAGCTGTATGAAATTAGAAGCTTCTTATATAGCCAATCAGATTTGCAACACAGGACTCAATTTATCATCTCAATGGTTCACGAAAGTTAAGACAGAGCAACTATCCAATAATAATTAGCAGGCTTCGTCTTCTTATTTGGAACTAGAGCTACCTGGTATTAGCTACTTCTTATAAAACAAGATAAGCTACAGACTGAGATTCATGAAAATAAGGCTCAAATAACAGCTAGTTGTTCAGATGAATACAGAATATGTGAAATAATTGTAGTACACTAATGTTTTGGGCACTTTGGCTGGTATGTTGATACTGAGAGTACAGAAATAATTGTAGTACACTAATGTTTTGGGCACTAAGCATGTTCAGTACTGATTTTTCCTTTTCATGGTTAAATAATCACAGATGAAATGAGTTTGGGGAAAACTGTCGAGATATGGCTTTGCATTTTTGCCCATCGTAGCACATTTTCCTTAAGACTGTTGACTGTTCTGTCTCTTGAAACAGATTAGAAATAGATCGGATAAGTAGGCAGATCAGGGATAGAATTGAGTGCATTTATGGGGTTGCAAGTGAAAGTTCTACACATAAGGGTTATGGATCCAATGTGACCTTTGTGATGCTTGGCAACACGCTGATTGTATTGGTTAACCTTGATGATGCCCAAGAAAGACTAAACCTCGATGATGATGATGATGTGTTGTCAAACAGTGAAAAAGGCACCATGAAGTCAAAATGTTTAGAGTCAAATATTGTATTGCAGAGACAGAAGAAAACGACGTGTGTGGTGTGCAGCTTAAACTACTACGAAGTATCTTCCATGCTACATAGATAGTATGCCCGTCACCGATATTGGCACAGTGGCACTCTGAAATGACTTACATCCTTCTAGGAGCGAATGGAGAGCGTCTTCGGACTGGACTAACATAACCTCTTCTGGGTGAAAAGCTGCAATCAAAAGAAACATTTCAGCACTTCCCAATCACCACAGCAATGTCAAAGAGAATGCATCTAGTCTAGGCGTTACTCACCGCCTTGGTGATCTGAACCTTCGAGGGGGTGGAGAGGGAGACCGTCTTCGAACTGGATATCCTGGTCTCAGGCTAGGAGGTGTTCTACCACGCCTGAATGGGGGAGGATCTTTCCAAGGGTGAATTGGTGGTGAATCAGGGCGCCGCCTAGGTGAGTCAACCCTTCCGCCTGGAGCAGGTCGCCTTTGGGGAGATGAAAGTGGTTTTCTTTGAGTAGATGCTGCTCACAGGTAAGTATTTAAGCTTCAAACGACATATATATTTCCGCTCAATGCAAACATGAAGCCTGGTTTAGGGGCCGAACGAAAAGCAGCTTGTGGTATTGGAGGACAGGAGGCTTACATTCTTTGGGTCGCTGCTGGGTGGCCTTTTCAGCATTAGGAACAAGGGAAGGAACAACTGTGTCAGTCTCAGGAAGATCTCTTTTTGGAGGATTGGGAAGAGCCTTGGGCAAAGAAGCAGCAGCAGCTGTTTGGCCCGGTGCAGGCGCGAACTTCACTTTAACAACATTCCCATCAATTTGAGCCTGTGCAAGTTAACAGGCTTGAATATTTAAAACCACCCAATTTCCTGAACTACAAATGAAATGTGGTTGAGAAGGGCAGGTTTCGATTCATACACCGTCCATGTAAAGAAGCGCCTTCTCGGCATCAGCTCTCATCTTGAACTCAACGTACCCATACCCACGAGGAAGATTGACCTGAACGAAAGCCAGCAGATATAGTTAGTATGACATAACAACGATCACAGCATTTCCCCTAATGCCATAATTACTTATGAACTCATCCGCTCACCGCCTTGTCCATGGACAGCTCCACGTTGACGACTTCACCATAGTTCTCTGCAGCACAGCACAACGGTGGCAGTCAGCTAAAGGCGGCCGCAACGGCTCAACAGCAGCGATGCATTCAGAGAAGGAAGACGTGCAGTATACATAAGCACTAAGAACTGAACTTCTCTGCAGCACAATGGTAATAATCGGCACGATGCAGCGATACATATTCAGAGAACAAAACGCGCAGCATACGCACCAAGAACTGAACTTCAACCAGTAATCGAATCACACAGAGTGACACAATGGTGGGTAATCAGCTAAAGGGCGCACCAAATAGCGCGCTATCAGCAGCAGCAATGCATTCAGAGAACGAAAACATGCATCATAACTTCACAAGTATACTGCTAAGAACTGAACTTGAAGCAGTAAATCAAATCACACGCAGAGACAGGCAGAGGGGGAGAGGAAAGGAGTGGCTCTGCTGACCGAAGATCTCCCTGAGATGGCCCTCGGTGACGTTGCGGGAGAGGCGGCTGACGAGGAGGACGAGCGACGACTCGTCGGGTGCCGGAGGGGAGGGCTTCCTCGCGGGCGGGGGAGAGGGCGAGGGTTTCTTGGCCGGCGGCGGAGGCGAAGGCGAAGACGGGCGGCCTCCCTTGGCCCCCTCCCGCGTCGGCGGCGGCGAGCGGCCCCTCCGCGCGGCGGACGAGCTGCGAGGAAACAGAGCAAGCAATGAGAGAGGGGGCGACGGGGAGGCGAAGGGGGGGAGAGTTCCGGCGGCGCGGGGCGGCTGACCTGCGGCGGCCGCGGTCGGGAGGGGAGCGGCTGCGGGACGGGGAGGAGACCGAGGAGAAGGAGGAGAGGGAGCGGGAGGACGGGGAGGAGGAGAGCGAGGGGGAGCGGGAGCGGGAGCGGCGGCCCGCCATCGCCTCGCGTCGCCCGCCGCCGGAGATGTCGCCGGTGTCGGTCGCCTCCTCAGTCTATCTGTGTGTGTGTGTGTGTGTGTGTGTTTTTCCTTTGATTGGAACAGTGGGAAGGAAGGTCATGGCTTTGATGATGGCTTACCTGTGATTTCTTTTCTTTATTTGTGAGCTCAATTTTCTTCTCATTGGTTGCCATGTCAATTTTCATCAGGAGATGAAACTGTCAATGCTTGTACTCCCTCCGTTCCAGATTACTCGTCGTGGTTTTAGTTTAAGTATTTGTGTGCAGGTGAGAAAACTTTGTTTATGGATCTGGTGTGGGTGTGGGTGACTGTTGAGAATTAGCCACCCTATTTTTTGAGGACCTAGGGTTACCCACTTTGAGGGGTTGAATGGGAAAGGAAGCGACACATTGTTGCGGTCCCTCGTTTTCTCTAGGTCGGCTAGGGAAAGAGGTTAACTTGTTTGAAAGAGAACCCTTGTTGTAAAAGCATCTCCGGCCGTGTCGGCAATAGCGCCGCTCGGCCGGTTTGATCTTCCGTGTTGCAATTTCCATAGTCTTGGAGAAAGCGCTAGAGCTCAAAGGGAAGATTTCACTTGTGGATCCAACCGAGCGGCGTAGTTGTGTCGAGGAGGACAGAGGATACCGCATCACGTCGAATACTTCCGCGGCGGAGCGCCACTGCTTGTTGAG